CATATTATAAAATCATAAGCAATAATACTAAAAGAAATTGTTATATTAAGCTAAATATAATTAATTGTATTAAACTGATAAATTTATATATTTTATTTTCATAAGTATAAAATATTTATGTTCAAAAAATAATCTAATATGTTAGTAAGACGGGTTAACATTAGCAAACTATATAATACATGTACATAAACTAACATGTATTTCATTAAAGCTAATAATATAAAATATTCATAACTACTTTAATCATGTTATCTTTTCATTTTATATTTATATTTATATATTAAATTTTAAAAATTCTAATAAATATGTGTACAAATATTTTACAATCAGTTAATGTATTTTATGTTATCTTTATAAAATGAAAACATTAAATTATATCATATTTGATTTACTTCATAGTCATAATCATCATGTTATAAGATAATTATTATATTGAATTAAATATGATAAAGTATATTAAATTTATAAATTTTAATAAATATAAACTATTTCTTTTAAAAATATAATATGATGACCGGCTTAAAATTAGCAAACTATATAATACATGTCTAAAAATTTACATATCTTTGAATTTCGTATATACAATAATATATTATCTAAAATGAATAAACATAAAAATATTGGTAAAAGAAAACACAGTTTTGAAGTTAGGGTCAGAATTTACAATAAATTAAATAGAAAATAATTTTCAAATATATTTTCTCATGAATATATTAATTTTCTTAATAACTAAATGCAAATACAATAAGATAAATATATAATAAGATGTAACAAATACATACGGTTTTTAGCAATTGATAAATATAATATGGAAATTATTAAATTATTGTGTTTGAAATAGTTATATAAACATTTAAGTTAGTGATTAACGTTAAAAGTATATACCACTTATACTCTAAAAAAATATCTCTTATATATTAGAAGATAAACACTTTTAAAATAACCTTGTTTTCATGTGTGATTAACAAAATTGCCATTACTTAGGTGGCAGTCTCACAAGCATTTTTAGCTCTTTTATAGAAATAGACTTAAATTACTAGAGTATTTACAATATTATGCCATTGAATATATATTATGTGTTAAATAATTGAATGTAATTGATTATGTATCAAACATTTAATTATAAATATGAAGAATATTCAAAATATTCCAACCACTTTCCGAATATATTTTGTTCTATTACTTGATTTCAAACATTATGGATTATTGAGTCAATTGTACTTTTTGTATGATCATGTTTTAGGAGTCTATCAAATTTTTTTTCTTTGTACCAATATTATTTTTATAAATAGATCAAATTTTATTTCTTTGTTGATGTTTGAGTCATTATGGTTTATTAAGCCGGATCATACTATTTAGATGTAAGAGGTTTATTATATGGCTTAAAATTATATTTTCAATATCAATGATATTTTGTACGTAACTATTACTTTTCCTATAGATAAACCTTTTTTCTTTGCCTTTTCCCATATAAATATTGTGGATTATTATAGAGTTAAAATATATTTTTGTCTGATTATGTTTTGATATCTTACTTATAGTTATAGTATACATGGTCTAATAAATTATTATCGTCATGCTCACCCAAAGATGGGTCACACAGATACACTTATCGTCATGCTCACCCGAAGGTGGGTCACACACATACACTCTAAATGGGTTGTATATATATATATATATATATATATATATATATATATATATATATATATATATATATATATATATATATATATATATATATATATGCAATTTTGAATGGTTAAATAAACAATTGTATGTTACATTAATTGTATTGTATGAAACATTTTGTGTGTATGCCGTAGTTTCGGTAATTTGCTAATAATACAGATTTTGCTGGTCAAGAGGAAAATTAAAAGCTTCCCTAAATTCTGTTTCTATATGAATACCGCCAGATTTATTGTCACATTAATTTAGTTTTTGAACGGTGTTCGATCGAAGAATATATCGCCACACATTGTTAGCAACACATTAACTAGGAAATATATTCACGATCGTCACTTTCCTATAATTAATTTTACGAATACACAAAAATTTTAATTATATTTAGTTTTCAAAATATAAACAGGCCATATCTTTAAGATGTTTTGATATGTTACATTGTATAAAATTATGTCTAAACATATATATAATATTAAGGATAATTGGGTTTTGGTCAGGACAATATTATATAAACATGTATAATTTGTTGAATTTTAGAAGGAAGTCATTATTAAATTTCATGCAATTCTTTGACTTTTTAATTAAGGAATCAACATAAATGTTGACAACGTCAAATAATAATATTGCGCGGAATTAAATTAATGTTAAATAATATTATTTCTTATATTTTATTCCTCGCATATAATACTTTTCAAAATGAAAAATTATTTAATATTGTTTCCATAAATATTTGATCCAGTTAAAGTTATAGTCAAATATCATAGTTAATGTCATTTCTTATATTGTATTTCTTTGCATATAATACGAAAAGTTATTAGTCATAAACAAAAATTTAGGAATTTTTGAGATTGTATCATTTAATATATTTCCAAAAACATAAATTATACACGAAAATTAGGGATTTTTAGGATTGTATTTTCGCGATGAAATATTCGTCAACCCTATCAGTTATGACTATATATATCATACTAAACTAATGTTTATGGTATCACAACCAACACGTTTTAAAATTAGCAAAGAAAATGAGTGGCATGAAGTTCATCTATGATTTGAAATAAAAGAAGTCTAATTTTAGATAAAAACTTGGAGCTGGTATTCTCTTAATAATTTCTAACATTGTTTGTTTATCATCATAAGGTCGATTGGCGAATGTGAGTAACATTGATGGATTTTCCTTTTTTGAATTGTTTTCTTATATCAGCTCTTTTTATATTTTATTATTTTAATATCTATGTTTCATTTTATCTTATATTCATAATTTATTATGAAAGAAATAATTATATTGTCTATGTTTTGTTTTATCTTAAATTCATAACTAATTTTATACAAGTATATGCTCACGTTTATAGATTTTCTTTCACAAACTATACTTTAAATACACTTAACTAATAACACAATTTTTTTTTAAAAGTCGAAGCTTATCTTATATACACCTGCACAATTTTGTTACATCTTTCATTATATAACATGTATTATTTGTGAGTCTGAATTTTATATTTTTAATATCTAAAAATTGAAAATTATAATCTCTCTGAATTTATCATTCTGTGTAAGGTGCGGGTTACCATCTAGTTTATGTATATAAAAGTGAAATCAAATATCCGTGCGATTGTGCGAGTCAAAATCTAGTTAATTTTTTACTGGACCAAATTATATGATCAAGTTAATCATATCAATTCTATGTACAGCAACTATTTTCGTAAATAATCGACAATCAATTATTTTAAACCCTTTTTCCTGTTTTAACAAGGATTTGTCGGCTCTTTTCTCAACCTTGTGCATGAATTGAAGTCAAACTCCCATACAAAATGAATTTCTTGAAGTGGACTCCACTTGCCCTAATAGATCCGAACTAAATTTGTATCCTCTCTAAAAGTAGACATATTGTGTGATACTGTTTGGTATGTAGGGACAACAACAAATTAACAACAGAAAATGGTCATGTCGATCTTTCTCTTTTAACTCGTAGAAGAGGAAACGAAATTTCAACCACATTGGTAGCTTCTTTGACGGGAAATGGTCAAACCCTGTTTCAACGACTATAATAGTTACCCAACATTATTATTATTTTTTTTCTTGGTACAAAAAAGTTGTTTCATCTCTTTGTCAGGAATCCAAACATTGTAAATAATCCATTCCAACGTAAATTAAATTTAAGTGGCAGAAGTTACAGCCGCAACCCTTTTACCACTAGGCCAACTCAACGTTGGTGTTATCCAACATTTCTTGTTCTTCACCCTTTTTTTTGTTTTTTTACCCAACATTTCTTGTTTTTTTTTTTGTGTGACAAGTATTCTAACTCTTTTTTATAGCTTACATTCAGACATGATTTCACTTATGATTCCATATCAACTTATTAATTATTATGTTACCATACACAATATAGACGTTAAATTATCGAATACTCTACAAAATACAAATCATATACATTATAGTTTTTATTTTGAATTATTTAATTATATATATATATATATATATATATATATATATATATATATATATATATTACCTCTTTTTCTGTTAAAAATTGAATTAAGTTTCCTATTATCTCAATATAATATTGCCACACGAAAAAGTGTCTTAGAATTTTATGATTGATCAAAATATTATCTAAATTTTTCAAAAATGTAAATAACTTATTTATAACTTAATAATTAATTGGTTAAAGATTTATTTTGAAAATAAAAAATTGTCAAGAGATAAGAGTTTATTTAACTACATTCTAACCATTTAATTTTTATACGACAAAATTTTATTGAGAGGACGTAGTGGGTCACGTAACATAATGTTTGTACACTTTATAGTGATGATCATGATATGTTCGCACATGAGAAATTATAAACTATTGTTACAAATTAAAATTATTTTTTTAAATATTTCGTGAACTTTAAAGCTTTTTAAAAATTTTGAAACTTATAAATATTTTTATTAAAATAAACTAGTTTGTGTATGAAAATGAACACAACCTATTATGATGATATATTCGGACATGGAAATTATAAATTATACATAGTTTATGATATATTTCATTTCAGAACTGATTTATAGTCTACTAGTCAGAACAATTCTCCTGACGCGGTCAACGTCTAGTAAACATTCATCTTGTGCTGTTCAAAATTCACCACTTCTCAACTCGGCTACTCCTATTCAAGCCCATTAAATCACGACAGTTATCTTTCCAGCCACATATATATAAATACATAACTACACCTACCTACACACAGCACAAAGCCCCTATTCATCATCATCCCAGCGATCTTGTCTAAAAATTCAGTAAAAAGCGATCTTGTCTAATTTCATCACACGTAAAAAAAATCATGATCTCTAAGGTTTTTGACTTCATGAAGAAATCCAAATCGTCCATTCAACTAAACAACACACCAGTCCTCGATCTTCTCTCTTCCTCATCATCAACCAAACCAAAAGCTTTGTACGATGTGTTCATCAACCACAGAGGATCCGACACAAAGAGAAACATTGCAACGTTGCTTTACGACAATCTCAATGCCCGTAACATACGTCCATTCTTGGATAGCAAGAACATGAAGCCTGGAGATAAGCTTTTTGATCACATCAACCGCGCCATTTTCACTTCTAAAGTTGCTATAACCGTATTTTCTCCCAACTATTGCGATTCCTATTTCTGTTTGCACGAGCTTGCTCTTATAATGGAGTCCAATAAAAGGGTTATACCGATATTTTTCGACATCAAACCTTCACAACTCGATGTTATGATCGAAAAGGTGACATGTTCTGATAGTGAAATACGACGGTTTAGATGGGCTCTTCAAGAAGCTAAAGATACAGTTGGGCTTACGTTCGATTCCTGTAAAGGGTAATTTTGAGTTTACATTCTATATAAACAAATGTTCTATAAAACTTCTGATTTAACTCACACTTTTTCTCTCTTTTGGTGCACTTTAGGAATTTATCGGAGGTTGTCAAGATTGCATCTGATGTTATCGTTGAGAGGTTGGTGGAGTTAGAGGATGAACATGAAGATGTTAAGGCGTTGGAAGAACTTTAATTTATTCCCAATCAAACGCCTCTCTCTAACATATATTATTTTTAAAAGTTCCTTTGATTGATGAATTTAATTGATTTCATTCATGCATATATATCCCAACGCATCGATAGTTGATAGAAAAAAAAAAATTGTAATGATGATTTATAATCTTTATTATTCTTTGTAATTTTTGATTTCTAATCTTCATTATTCTTTGTAGTTTTTGATTTCTAATATTCATTCTTCTTTGTAATTTTTTTGTGTGTGTGGCAAGTACATGCTTAGCTCAACAAAGATAATAACATTCTCTCTTTCTAATACCTAAAATGTTTGTTATAGAAGTTACAAACACCATTCTCACTTCTTTTTATACGTACACTTTTTGGAACCCTAATCTACAGTAGGATCAAGGTTTTCATACATGATAAAGTTTAGTTTTGCATTGTATAGAAAATAATAAACCCAAGAAATATTATGAAGCAAATGTCTAAGGCTCTAAATAACAAATAATGGTGTCATATTTATAACAGTATGAGAATAATACTAAGAGAGAGAGAGAGAGAGAGAGAGAGAGAGAGAGAGAGAGAGAGAGAGAGAGAGAGAGAGAGAGTTGTGTAGGAGTAAAAAAAACAACCTGTTTTTCAGACCTAACCATCCACCGTCAGTGTACAAATCGGCCACAGTGGAGAACAAAGGAATACCAAGCCTTCCAGGAGAATCCGAGCCAAAGAGTAGGTAAAGAGGGCCACAAGGTGTCCAAGGATCCCACCAAAGAAAATAGAATCACTATTATAAAAATGTATCCGACCTGAAACAAGTAACGCATAATTATTTTTTATGCAGAAACTCATAAATCAACGAGTCAGCTGCATAAAGTTGTGGGAACGCATAATGATCTAGAGTAGATGCAAGAATATATATATACAGGTGACACTCTAAAATAACAGCCGACCTTATCTCAGTTGGTAGAGCGGATGACTGTAGTCAGTGACAGCAAATCTTTAGGTCGCTGGTTCAATTCCGGCAGGTCATAAATTTTTACATTTTTAAAATATGTTATATAGAGTTTGATCGATAAAAACTCGAGTTGTTCTTGTATGAAAGTCATAGACGGAATGAAAATGTTTTATTTTCGCTACATTTATTCTGATGGAGATGGGTTTTCTTGCATCATGAACATTAAAGAAAACGTAGACCAAAGCTTATCATCTCTAGTTCTCACTTCGAATCCATGTTTTACAGTACTTTCTGGCAAACTATGGTGCGCATTTTACTGTCTGTGTGAGCCTCCAATCTCCATACCAAACTCGTACTCTTTTTCTTCAACTCCTTGGTATTTCTTAATTCTTTTGAGACATTTCGTCAAACTCATAATGCCTCCACATACCATGAACATTTAAAAGTAGATAAGAGATAGATGGGAAGAATTGTTTACTCTCATAACCATAGAGGTTGAGATACAAACGTTCATATAGAACTTATTTTTAACCTAATTACCAAGTAAAGAATCCTATCAAATCATATAAAGATATACACAAATCTCTACAATGTCTTTTCAAATTTTTACAATATCTTGGATCTTTCTAGATCCTCCTATATCATTGAACCCAAAAGTAACCATTATCGTTCTCCTTACCGAGACTTTCTCCATGAATGAATCATTGAACCCAAAAGTAACCATTATCATTCTCCTTACCGAGACTTTCACCATGAATGACAAGAACACCTCCCTACAGAAACAGAGTATTTTTAGTGTTTATTCTGTTTCAAATGAACCCAAATGATCGGAGCATCCCGCTCGAGTTAGCTACTACGCTTGAGACCCCTAAGTCCGTTCAAGAGGGGTTTTGCGGAGCGTATCGCACATTCTTCGAATCGTGTGGCTTATTCTTTCCGATTCGTGACCCAATTCTTGAAATCACAGCCGTATTGGGCATATGTCTTACTCAGATGTGCCTGAATTTCTTGAGGCACCTCTTAGCACTCGTGGTAAGAGCTCGTGAGGAGGGCTTACGCTTCGTTTTGGAGGAGCTTCGTCACTTGTGTTTGTTGAAGAGGAACAACAAAAGTCCAGGGGACTTTTCTTATGTCGGCCGCGTGTTGGACGTCACGTTATCCAGAGAATTCCATATCGCGACGAGAATTGGAAAGAGACGCTCTTTGTCTTTAAGGTCGATCGTTCGCCGATAACTTTGAAAGGATTTCTCGGCGTTGGTCCGACGATATAGGGTAGTTTCGATTTCTCATCGCTAATATTTCTTTTGATCCCTTAAAATCTGAATGCTGTTTTTTTGGGCTTTCTAGTGCATTCCGAGACTTCTCTGATATCGGACGAGATCCGAGGTTTATTAAAGATGCTACAACGAGATCACCCGGATTAGTCTTCTTTTAACGGCGAGCAAATTTGAGCTACTTTTTTACTGCCCGACGGGACTAGTCAGGCTCCGGCAATTGCCAGCCGCTCGGTTAGGCTTAAGGATACTGCGGGACCTTCTAACGATCCCCCTTCTTCTGCTAGGTCAGACAGACAATTGGCTAGGCGATCGTCGTTCAGAATCCGGAGTTGCGCTAAGGGAAACATGGATCCTGATCTACCATGGTTTTGACCCACTTTTAACCATGGTATTTATAGAATTTTACAATATATATATATATATATATATATATGTTTTGGAGTCTATTAGGTATGTTTTTAGGTTCAGGAGCATTTTGGAGTAAAGTGATGATTTAGGTGCCCTTATAAAGTTTAAAGGAGAGTTTTCCCGAGATGATTATAAAGATAAGACAAAAAGGTCGATATCCAGAGATACATATCGATCGATACACATCATGTGTAATCGATCGACGACGCTTCCATAGAAGATGACGAATTGTGATACTCCATCGATCAATGTACGCCATGTACCATCGATCAATATGAAGTGTGAAGAACAAATTTGATTTGGCCGACTTGAATCCCAAGTTCTCTCAATATTAAAAGATTGCTCCTGACGAGTTTTTAACCTAATGGAACTCATATTTATAGTTATGCCTATGTGTTTTGGCTATACATGCTTTTTATACCTTTACATGCTTTTTGTACTTCTTGAGCTTTGCATGCTTTTCATGTTCTTAGTTCTTTAATTTATAAAAGTATTCTTTTCATCTTGTTCTCATTTTCATAAAAGGTTATAGAATTCTAGATTTAGAAGAACACACAAAGAGATTTGTTGTTCAAAAGAACCAAGAGTTCAATCTTCTAATCTTATGAATTTCTATTATTACCTTGATGCTGTGAATCACTTAGCCATGTCTGAGTAGATTCACTTGTTAGATTTGGGGTTCAAATAGTTATGAGGGATTAGCCCTAACTATGGATTGTTGAGCTGTGATATTCATTATCCTAGTGAACCCTAATGCTTACTCTAGAATAGCTAACTAGAGTATGATCATGAAATGATTTAACTTGTTAATCATCATCCTGAAATCATCTAGTATAAGCTGAGGTCCTCTTGGGACGTGCGAGAGCCGGTCTACGATCTTGGTGAACACATATTCAATTCGATCTGAAGCTATATCGATCGATACTCCTATAGAGTAATCGATCGACGGCTACCTATATCGTCCGGTACCGCTGTCAAACCATCGGTCGATATTGCCGACAGTCAGATCAATGGACGAGTCTAATAACGATTGCTGATAGATTTATCTGAGAGTTGAAGTTCTTTAATATCTTGCAAGCAACTTATAAAGACACCTGTAGCATTATAATCATGATTATCTGAATAACAACCTTGAATCTAACTACTTTCTTTTATTGTTTAAAACCTAAACCAATTCTCTTGAGCAACTCACCATTGCTCCCAACTGCAATTTACTTTTTAAACCTAAATTAACCTAGCACAATCACTTAAGATTATATCTTTTGTGTTCCTTAGTTCCTTGTGGATTCGATCCTTAAGTACTATAACTGAACCTCTTATTTGAGAGAGTAATTCACTCCTTAGTGTAATTTGAGTGATATCAAATTTGGTGCCGTTGCCGGGGAACTAAGATCGCCATTAGATTTAATCTGATTAGGTCTGCTACTTGTTACTGCTTAATCATCTTCTGACACAAAAAAAAATTTCTTGTCTTTTTCAGGTACATGCCCAGCAGTACTAGAAGCAACAAGAACAACCAACTTGTGTACTCAGAAGACTCCCACAGTCTGGAACGTAGCATCCGCAGAGACTTACGTTCCGCATCGATCAACATCAACAACAGTTCATCGACCGATACTCGCTTACCACATTCGACCGAGACACCTTCTTCGTCGACCGATACTCGCACCCTTCCATCGATCGATATCAACAACTGTTCGTCGACCGAAATATTTCATTCGACATCGATCGATATACCTCATCTTAAATCGATCGATACTTACCGGCGAGACATGGTAGCCACTATTATTCTCACTGCTGATGAGAATGGAGACCTGCGTGATCAAGATGGTCACTTGCGTAATGCAGCAGGTCAGAAGCTGAATGCTCAGAAGGAGATCATTCTTGAGTAAGAAACTAGACCTATAGACCTCATTCAACCTGTAGAAGAGGCTAACAGAGCTAGAACTTTGGCTGACTACAACCGTCCGGATCAGTTCTATACCAACTGATCAGCCATCCGCCCTCCTGCTATTCAGAAAAGAGATTTGGAGCTCAAGCCGCAGTACTACACACTTGTAGGAAAAATACCCTTCTGTGGGTTGTCCCATAAGCATCCTATGGACCATCTGGAGAGGTTCGAGGATCTCATAACTGTCATAAAAGCCAATGGAGTCCCTCAAAGACTATCTTCTCTGCAAGCTTTTCAAATACTCTCTATCTGGAGAAGTTTTGCAATGGCTGAGACAACTACCACCAGGTTCTCTCACAACTTGGAGCGACATCAAAAACGCATTCCTGCGTAACTTCTTTGATGACTCACGCGCTGAAGAATGTAGGAGGAAGATTGCTACATTCACTCAGGATCCTGGAGAATCATTTAAAGACACATGGAACAGATTCAAATCCTACAAGCGGGATTGTCCACACCACGGATTCAACAAAGTGCAATTGCTCTGCACTTTCTACATAGGCATCACTCTGAAGTATCAGATGGCTCTTGACACAGCTAGTGAAGGCAATTTCACCACCAGGAATCTACAAGAAGCTGTGAAGTTGATTGATAACCTAGCTTCAAGCAACATCACAAAGAACATCGTGAAGATAAAAGCTACATCATTCCTTGGGAAGGAACATATCAATGAAGTGCAAGTACAGCTGGATAATGCTCAGAAGTTACTAACAAGCAGATTTGCTCAGTGGAGGATGCAGAAACTGCAGCTGAAGAGGAATACACAGAAGAAGATGTGAACTGGATCAGTGGAGCTGGATTTCAGAGGTCCGGTAACCAAGAAGGATACATAAACTTCGCAGGACAGAAAAACAACTTCAACCAGAGTTCAGAGAAGCCTACCAACTACTGCAGCAGCAACCTCAACAACAACATGAGTTATGGAAGCTCATTCTATACAAATCCACCCCTACCCACCCAAGACAGTAAGCTAGAAGAGATGCTAGACAAAGTTCTTGAGAGTCAGCAGAAACTTCAGATGGACTTCAATGAAAAGATCGACTCTGTCTACACCAACCTCAACACCAAGCTTGATAGCTTAAGCACCTATGTGAAGAATTTGGAGACTCAAGTGGTTCAGATAGGAGAAGCACTAAAGAAGCAAGAAATTTTAGCAAAAGGAATGGGAGAGTTTGCTACTCTCCATGATGTGCATGCCATCTTGGATGATGACTTTTGGCAAAAGCTGCAAGATTTTGAAGATGACAGTGAGCCAGACTTTGAATTCGACTACTGTCGATCGATATCATCCCCTTGAACATCGACCGATACCTTCCAGAGTACATCGATCGATAGACTTTAAAGAATGTCGATCGATGGACTTAGACGAAACCTCTTACGAGTGCAGTGCCGTCAAGATTATGTCACACGAAGCCTTCGCAGCACGACACCCACATCCACCCGTCCCTATCAAAGTCGATTCACATGACATCGATCGACATGATGACTCTCCAATCGATCGACATTACGACCGTGATATGAACCGACCCATTCCAGTCATTGTTGCCCGATACACAGTACCCCAACGTCGAGTGCAACTTCCAAAGATAGACGTTGCAGGACTTGATGCACTCCGAGAGAAGTCTAGAACTCCCAGTAATCTTCCCACCACCATCATGAAGAGACCCACGGACATCTTTGAGCCCATGGAGATAGAAAAGGAAAATCATGGCAGAGTTCTCAGAAAAAGGAAAGAGAAGATCCCGAAGCCTTATAAAAGGGAAGCTAATGAGAAAGAATTGTCAAGCTTCAGAAAGAGAGTTCTGAGAATTCCTAAAGAGAAACTCTTTGAAGAAGCCTACTTTTCACACAGATTGTGGATGTTTTTCAGAGAAACCAAGGAGACAGAAGAAGACATCAAGAGAATATTTCACCAAGTCAGAGACAGTCTAAAGAAGAAGACCACACTGGAGAAGAAGAGTGATCCATGGAAGTTCACAATACCATGTTCAATAAGAGGTGGTGAGTTCCCTCGTGCTCTCTGCGACACAGGATCTCGAGTTAGCATCTTACCCAAGATCATGGCAGACCATCTAGGTCTGAAGATAGAGCCTACTGAAGAATCTTTTAACTTCGTGGATTGTTCTTCAACAGAACTCTGGAGGCATAGTTTGAAATCTTGAGGTACAGATTGGAGATGCCCTAATTCTTACATACTTCGACGTCCTGGAGAACAAGCTCAACTTCAAGACATCTCTACTACTTGGAAGGGCTTTCTTGGCAACAGTTGGAGCTGTTTGTGACCTGAAATCCAATAAGCTCTGCCTAACCCTAATTGACCCTACCATCCACTACAATCATGTTCAAGTCATCAAGATTCCAAGGACAGAGAGCCCAGCACTCGTAGCAACTTGTTTTTGTGCCCACGAGTATGATTCAATGGCCGAGTACCAGACAGATCTAGACGTATCGACCGACGGAAGTCTTTTACCATCGACCGATACCAGTCAACCAGAGTCGATCGACGAGCATACCTGGTCATCGATCGAAAGGCTATTCTAAGAGATGGAAGAGGAGTTTCCAGACGGCGACTTTCACGTAGATGATTGGGAGAACGATCATTACATTCCAGAACTGGCTAGTATCACTACTCAGGAGGATTATGATGAAGATTATGAAGAGGAACGAGCCACAAAGTACAGATTTCTTTGGGAAGATGAAGAAAGACCTCTTCTACCATCCTTTATTTTCAGAGCATCGATCGACAGAGACCACCTTTCATCGACCGATATTCATTGTGATGTCGATGTTTACGCACTCTTCATTCTAATTTGGCGTTTTTTGTGTTTGGACCCCCACAAGATCATGTCGACTCTTTTCTTTGAGGTGGTGATTTTGGCACTGCTTGTCCAAGTTCTCTACTTCTTTTTCCGTTGTTCTTTGCTTTTGGGGTCATCGGGGTTTCTTCTTCTTCTGTGTTTTCTCCGTCTTCTTTATTTTATTTCTTACTGCGGAGTGCGGCACGAGATTCTTCAGTTGAATCCATTTCGTTTGTGGGAGGAGTATTTGCTTGGGTCGAACGTCGATTGTCTTTTCTGCGACGACGAGTCTATGGCGTAAGAATGATGTCCTTTGGTGGTTTGCTCTTTTGGAGTACTGGGCTTTTTAATTACTCATTTATTGGCGTGGTATTTCTCTTTTAAGGCCGCTATTTCTTCTTCGAGGGTTGCAAAATATGATGCGCGATACAACGCGTCGTCGAGTGAGATGGGGGCTCGGACTGTCATTTCTTCCCTAAACTTGGAAGAAAACCAAACTCCGTTTTTCAGAGCTGCCAACGCGACAACTTTGTTCAGGCTTGAAATCTTGGACTTTAGTTCTTTGAACTTATTTATGTAGGTCCTTAGTGATTTGAAGGGGGATTGTTTGAGGTTCCATAGGTCGGCTTCAGTGGCACGCGTCTCGATAAACACAGAATACTGCTTCAGGAATGCCGACACGAGCTGGGTGAAATCATCGATCGAATTTCCTTCGAGCCCGGTGAACTATTCCAGGGCAGGACCTGTGATATTTTCCGCAAAGAAACGGAAGTAGCCTGCTTCTCTTTCCTCGTCGTTTAGATGTGCTCTTGACATGGCTAACCAGAAGGCCCGCACATGTGTTTTTGGATATGAGTTTTCGGAGTATTGCGGGAATTTGATCTTCTCGACATTGTGTAATCTCATCCAATTTGTAAATGGAGTTCGGCGGGTCTCCTCGATGACTTGATCGATATTGGGGCCCGAGCTCGTCACCAGGTGTACGATCGCGTGTATCCTCTTGAGCTCGGCGTCATTCTTTTCCACGTAATTTTGAATGCTCATGCTTGGTTTGGGGACCTTTGGCCATCCTTTTGCAGGTTCTCATCCATCGATCTGAATGGATCATATGCCGAGACGGCGTCTGGATGGGTTGCGGGTCTTCTTTGATGGAATTCTTCACCCCTGAGCGTGAATTGGTCATCTCGAGTTCGATGTTGCGGTGGGGTCGTTTCTGTTGGCCTACTCCGAGTTGAGATCGGGGTCGTTCTGATACCTTGCGTTCCATTTTTGACCTCGCATTGACCATTGTAGTCCAGACTTCGAGAGTAGTTCCTTTGGGTTGGGCCTTCCGCGGGCTTTCCCCAGCATAACGCCAGATCGGGTATTGACTGCTTTGGGGGAGGCGAAGACCCCGTGGATTCGAAGTATCGGCGTTTGGAGGAAGGGATCCGAGTGCTATCGGATTATTTCCCTTGGATTTGTTCGGCTCTCGGAGAGTTCTCTCTCGGTTTTTTTCCAGACGATTGGTAAATGTTTGATGAACGATCTCTTGTTCGCGAGATCTGTCGATAAGCGTGACGAGCAGTGATCTCATTTCTAGTTGATTCGGGGATCTCGGTCTCGTTGCTCTGGTCGAATCGTCTAGAATTGTTCTGTCTTTTGGACGGTTCCATACTCAGGATCCATTTCGATCAGTAGGAGAGTTTCGATCTGAGATCACATTTCTTTCAGCGAACGGCGTCTCGATCGGCGCGGCTTGCTCACATTTATTTTGGCGATCGAGGTCTCGATCGGCGCAGCTTGCTGATTTTGAGTTACGTTCGTGGTTTCGGCGAAGTTTGTTCGGTCGCCAAGTACTGGAGCGGTCCCCAGAAGACTTCTGGTTGGTGCGACGTTCGTTTGATCAGTGGACACCGGGGCAGTTCCCAGGGGGTTTCCAGTGGGAGCAGCGTCGATCGATTTGGATCGGACGTTGTCGGGGTTGTTTGCGTTGGGATCCATAATCGTGCTTAGAAATCCTAGATCGGTTCTTAGTATGGGTGTTTTTCGTTTATCTTCCCCACAGTCGGCGCCAAAATTTAGATCCTAAAATCCACACTCAATATTTTGTAGAGATCGAGAGTACAATCAGGGGAAGACAAAGAATGTGGGAAACAATGCTCTTAAACACAACGATGTTTTGGACTTCAGTTGACAAAAAATAGACTTTTATTGAATGTAGAATTCATTTGCAATGAGATGAACAAGATCGGAAATAACAACAAAAAGTACAAGAAAGCAAACTAGAAATCTAAAGAAATGAGGCCGATCTGATCAGTGAATAGCTCTAGGGTTTTTTTTGTGTCTGGAAAATATCAGTTTAGTTCTCTTTTTATAGCCTCTTCGTCCTCTAACCGTCTCCGTGATCTCCAGGATTCTATCTTCGACTTCGTGGATAGTGAGTTCGATCTCAAGTTAGTAATTATTCTAGATGAACTTGGACTCGTTCAGATAGATACCGAAATTGGATCCAACAATCATCAATCTATATATATGCCTTTTCGATTCCGCAATATGCTTTGAGAAGGGTCGACTTTCCTTCATGGCTTTCTTTGGTTGCATATAAGTTTATGAGAGCTATGCTCCCGAATGGCTTGTACATCAGTGGATGTTGAACATCTTTTTTAAACTTGTAAGTATATAGAGGACATGAATTATATGAAGATAAGACATATACATTAGATGTACAAGAAGCTAATAGAGGTGGTTTCAGTGCATTCTCTCTATCACAAAGACTAAAGAACCGAGAAAGCAAAAGATTGATAAAACCTTTGAGAAACTTGACCTACAGGTCTAGGGATGTTAAAATGACGATAAAGACTATAGATCTTATCCACGTAAAAGGTATTCTTCCTTTTAAAAAACTTCGTCTTCATATTACCAGGTGTCTGAGTCTCATAAACAAACTCTTAACCTTTCGTCTTGTGCAAAACACTAATGCTTATACCGCTCTTAAATCCAAAACACTTCCGCATAAAAAAAAAATTCATTACTCTCACTACTACTAGTGTTATATTTCCTCTCAACCAGCTTCTCTAACTGTGTTTGCATCTATTCACAGTCGCTCTTCTGCTACGCAGTATCCTCCCTCAATATCTCTATCTCCATCTACAAGGGTTTGGACTGCAACGGATTGGTTCATATTTTTCTATTCGGATTCAAATTTCGGGTTCAGTTATAAATGCTCATACCTAGGGTTCATTCAAGAATCAAGATTGTATAAATAATAAACAAGGTTCTATAATCCATAATATATGAGTTCTTATTACATCACAAAAGTCATGTTCTTGGACGAAATACAAACAACATAACAAATCCATTCACAACAATTATGGATCATGACATCAATGTACATTTCTCTTCAAAAATTTAGGTTTCAAGCGGCTTTACTTAGATACATACCTCTTAACCCTTTCATCAATCCACTCTCTCATATCCTTCAACACATTCTCAGCGTTCTCATCAGGCTCTCCTTGAATCAAGGAATGGTACATCCCATCATAAAGCTTCATTGTTTTATCAGCACTCGATGCCTTTTCGTATAGTAGCTTCGAAGATGAAGGGCATGTCACTCCATCTGCTGTCCCATGCACGGTCAGCAGCAGAATAGTCACTCTCCCGAAATTCTCCTGTACGTATTGGGTCTTCCTTAGAATCTCTCTCATTGTTCCCATTCTAGGCTTCTCTGTGTACCTGTTCGGGTTAGATACGATGATCTTGAGCTTTTCAGGGTCATGGATTGCCTTTCCAGCCATCTTATTATCCGGCATTGCAGCCCAGGTATCTGTTGATGTAGATGAGGCGACGCAAAACATACTGCAGAATGTAAGACACATCAAATTTGTTAACGGGGTTCGTTTTCTACATCCCCGGGACCCAGTCCAGATTTTATTGACTTAGAACAAGGAGCAACCTACAATTGCTATATGGTACAACACACTCACTAGAGTTTACCACTCTTTTCTAAGAAACAATCTACAAAGATTAGGTATCAGCACGCATGCATACAACATCATCTGGGCACGCCAGAGCACACTGTCTTCTACAGCTGCAATCTTCACACACCTCTTCAATAAAACCGCCTTTGCTAAACTCCCCCTGAGTCTAGGCTTCAATCTTCCACATCTCGGAAGTACTTAACCAAGTACGTCAGCACCCATCGCACAACAGTGGCACAAAATGCTTGATCACCCAAGCAACACACAAAGCTCACCACAAGCGCTACACACAATGAAAACTCTACCACACAAAGCGCCAACTCTAACGCCACAAAACTAAGTCCACATCGGACTCCATCGGAAACTACTTCAGGCACTGCTTTGACACCAAGCAGTAACACACACCAAGGAAACCTCTCTCTCTTCTATGAGGTCTGGCTTTGTCATAAGGCACGTCTTCCTTAATATATAAGACCAGAACTTGTTCTCCACGTCTTGAACTTGCTCTTCAAGTCTTCCAAATACACTTAAGGCAACTTTCCATATCTTAATGGAAAACTTCATCTTCAACAAACTTCCTTTTGCTTTATGGAAAACGTCCATATATCTTCAAACACATATCTTCTTTCCTTTTCTAATCCTAGTAAGCCCACGCTCATCAAGAAACACGAACTCCAGCATAGCTCATCTTCATGACACACACATGTACTACCTCCTGTAGTACTTCACGAACTGACACAGAACATCTCAGCAAACTGCATCTTCAATCTCCCCCTTGTTGACTACGCATGTGCACTCATCATAACGAGCTTGAAATCCATGTCTTCAATCTCCCCCTATGAGTCACATCATGGTCAAAAACCAATTCGAAGATCACCACCTTCCAAAACAGAGAAGAAATCCCATGACACCATCTTCATCGGTCTTCATACAAACTCTGTCCTTCTTCTTGAACCAGATTTCGTCCTCATCCTCCATGATCTCACCAGTAACTTAGTTGACCTGCTCTGATACCAATTATAAGTGCAAAGATGACACCACAATAAGGTAGTACAGAAGGTAAACCAAGAGACAAAACACCAATAGCTTTATTAGAAATCGCCTTGTACACTCTATTACAAGATCTGCTTAATCAGCTTTACACGTCTAGTGTTAACACCCTAACACATGTCACTGAAAGATTCCTAAGCTACTCACTTATGTCTCTCTGCCGTCAAGTACTTCAGCCTCTGCTTCAGCACGACCCAAGAACACCTTAAGAGCTTCTCTCTCTCTCTATAAGATTAGCCTCTGTGTCTATGTCTCTCTACAGACGACCCCATTGCTATCTTATACTTATTCTCCACGTTCACAAAACCCTAGTCTTCAAGGAACACAATATGGACATCTTCCATAACATTAAGTGCAACTTTCCTTTTCTTGGAATGCACTTATTCCTCTTTCCTTTAAGTCATAAACTTGCTCCTCAAGTTTATTTATCTTGTCTTTTCTCCAAGATACACCCTTGCTCTCCAAGTCTTCACGACTCCAGCTCAGCATCTTGACTCCACATGGTCTTCACCACTAAACACGACGTCTGCCTCAGCAACTACGTCATCGACTACTTCAGGGCGGACATCTTACATCTTCAGTCTCCCCCTTTTTAGCTTTGTGTGCCGATCAAGCACAACATCCTTCTGGTTCAACAACCACGTTCCTCACTTGGAACCTTCCATACCAAATGTGTTTTTCTCCCCCACGAGATGTGCACCACACTATGCTTTTCTCCCCCATGAGATAAGCACCATCTACTTCAGGACGTCCATCACCATGCTCTTCTCCCCCATGAGATATGCACTCCTTGGACTAGAACGTCACCACCTCTCCCCCTGCTTGATAGCATACTAAGCTAAAACACAGATGCTTAGATGTCAAGCCTTCCATCACAGTAATCATGATACAGCCCCTACTGCAGCGGAATAGATTACAAGTACTGCATCACGATCTGACGTACCTGTCGAACTACCTTTCGACCCACTTCTGTTGAGGACTTGGCTTCCTTCATGCGTCATCTCCTTGACCATGAGCCCCTCCTCATCCATCCCGAGTGCTCTCTGCACTCGTTGCTATTGTCTTGGAGTGATTTCGTTATCACCCTCTTGAAGATCATCTCGCATCACTTCCTGACGCACTTCGATCTCCTTCCCCTTTGAACCACAAACAACTCCGTGTCCTGGCTCCAAACTTGATGCTTCTTGATCTTCCTCAAGATCACTCTCACTAGAGCTGCACCCTTCTTCTGATGTCCCTTCTTGACCTCATCAAGTAAGCCACTCTTGGCAAAGAACACCTCTTCAACCCTCTTGGGTTTCATGAACGTCTTGTTCACATTATTGGCCATGTTTTTGCTCTTCTCACGAGCAAAACACTCCACCTTCTTGTGTCCAACCTTCCCACAGAACCAGCAGCACATCTGATGTTGCTTCTTCTTGGGCCTGACACAGTTGCTCATGCACCGATCAGTCTCCTTCCTTGTACCAGATGCACAACCATGCTTCAGAACCTCCTGTCTGACCTTCATGTTGCTGCACTGATGTACCACTTTCGGCTTATTACTCACAGCCACACGCTGTAGAACTTCCTGCCGTACTCCTTGTCGTACGTCCCGACGTACTTCCTGACGAACATCTTTGGCTTCACTTTTTGAAGTGCTCCCTTGCACGAACTGTGACCGCCCCTTCTGT